TGTGTGTGTGTGTGTGTGTGTGTGTGTGTGTGTGTGAACCCGGAAGGAATGTGGTTGTCGAAAAAGCATTTCGCTCCAGCCAACAGTGGACGAGGAATCCTAGCTTAGCAATCAAATCAAGCAGTTTGGGTGATGTTCCACATCTGAATGCCCAAGAGGGAGGGAGGGAGGGAGGGAGGGAGGCAGGGAGGGAGAGAGAGAGGGAGGAGAAAAGAAGGAATGACACATTCACTTCCAGCCTAGGACTCCACAGAAGATATGCAGTAACACAAGAGACTGAAAAGATCAGTTTTTTGTGCGTACCCTTCTCGCTGAGAACAATTGCCACAGACAAACAAAAATTGACACAAATAAACCAATCCACTTCCTCTCTTTCCTCTACTTACAAAGCCGACCGGCTGACAAAACAACTGATCGAGGGGTCATACTCACAATAGGTCTGTTCTGGGTGTATCCGGCCACAATTACGGCCAACCCTGAATTGACATCACCGCAATTACGTGCAGAAACAAGTCCCAAGAAAAGGCCTACTGTGAGTATGTCCTGAACCACAACCGCATCAACGTCAACAGGAAAAATAATGGACACGAAGGAGAAAAAACTCACCTGTTATCTATTCTCTCCTTAACGAGTCGACCTACCTACAGACCCACAGACCCTTAGACCCACAGACTGACAGATTGACAGACACACAGACCCACAGATCCACAGACCCACAGACGGACTGACAGACCCACAGACCCACAGACCCACAGACCCACTGACCCACAGACTGACAGACCCACAGACCCAGAGATGGACAGACCCACAGGTCTACAGACTGACAGACCCACAGATCCACAGACTGACAGACTGGCAGACTGGAAGACTGACAGACTGACAGACTGATAGACTGAAAGATTGGCATACTGAATGGTAATTCAATTTCAACCCCCGCCGGCTTTCTGTCTCCTACCAATCTTCACGGTTGGGAGAGAAAGAGGCACAGGCAATGTAGCCCTGATTTTTGCGGCGGCTGACTTGGAATCCTCAGCCATCTCCAGTTTGCTAACTTTCATTCTTTCCAATTTGCAACCGAGCTCGCGGTAGCGCGGGCCAAGATACTTGGCCTCTTTATGGAGCTGCATGCACATCTCGCCGGCATCCGTCTCGAAGTTGTCCACATGCAAGCTCAATGCAATGATGTAGCCGATCATCAGATCGGTTAACACCTGAGGGCGGCGGTACGATACGCGGTCCGTCTCGGTCGACAGTTCCATGAACTTGCTCAGAAACACCTGTGTGATGACAGGAGGGATGCCAAGGCCCTTGCTAATCGAATCTGCAACTTGTGAACCCTGCGTCGCCTGTTCCAGCTCACCTAAACCTGCATCCGCCTCATGCTTGCCCGGCCGGAAAAGGTTGTGCGGCGCTCCATAAAACTTCAGCAGACAGTTCAAGTATGCGAGAGCAACAACCGGTCCAGGATAGCCTGAGTTGCTTGCAGGTTCCTTCTGCAACAGGAAAAGAAAAGGAAAAGAGAAAGAAAGAAAAACAAACAAGACAATTTTTTTTTTTTGACAAATGCAGTCAGCAAGATCCCCACAGCAAAACAAAAACAAGACAACTTATCAGAATATTATATATATATCGTCAAATAGAACTGCCCGGTAAACCGTAGGCAGAGAGGGAGAAGAGGACAACAAACGAGGGGCTGTGACAAACTGTTTCGTCAGAGTTTCACCGACTCATATATATATATACATATATATATAAACTCCAACAAAACAGTTTGTCACAGCCCCTCCTTTGTTGTCCTCTTCTCCCAG